AGTTAATTGATAAGCTTTCTTTCAAATTTTGAAATATAAATTCTTACTGATTTTCTGCTTGTTTCTATCCATTAATGAAAACGTTACTGAAATTTCTAATTATAATTTTTCTATTTATTAGAAATATTTTTTGAAAAAAAGAAGTAGAATGCGGAACACAGAGCATCTGTGCACTGGGAAGATAAATGAAAGATGCAAAAGAAGCATCTTTTGCAGTAAACTGTTGGCTTTCTTTGATCACTAGGCATTTGTATTTCTTCTCTATAAATTTTTCAAATAATTGCTCATTTTTGCAATAAGATATTTGTATTTTTATTGAATTGTTAGAGCAAATTATATATAAAATATCTATGGTCATTATATACCCTGTTAAGTGTTGATATTTAGAAATATTCTTAATTCATATATACAAATTTAGTAAAGTGACTTCATTGAACTTTCTGAATTTTAATATATTATTGATTCATTCAGGTTTTCTTTATTCTAAATTGAGTTTTTAATCATATAATATGCATAGAGATATAATTTAATTTTTGCCTTTTAAATAGTTACAGTTCTTTATTTTTACTGCCTTTTTTTTCTTTATTTCATTTGCCAGATCCTCCCAAACAACATTAAAGTGTAATAGTGCCTGTATGATGAATATACTTGTCTATTATCAGACTCTAATGGGACTAGCTCATAGTTCAATATCAACTGAATGATTTAATTGTGGTTTCAGATAGAAGTTTGTTTTCATTAAGTAACTAGTTTTTTAGTAGTTTACTGAGTTTTATGAGGAGGTGTGGTTGGATTTTATAAAATGGCTTTTTTGAGCATCTATTAGGATTTATTTTGAATTATGAACATGATGAATTATAATGTTTACTAATAAATCATTACATTGTGTGAATAAGACCCAGTGGTGGTAGTTGATATTTAGTTTATTGTTATGTTAAATTAAGTTTTTTATTCCATTTAGGAATTTTGCATGTGAAATAAGTGACATTTTATTATTATTATTTTTGAATTTTTTGGTCATGGTATAATATCAGAACTATGTACAGCAGCTTCATAGAACAAATTTAGACTTTCTATATTGACTATATTCTGAAAATATAGGTTTATATAACACTATGTAAATCCCTTCATTGAAAGTTTGAAAGAACTCGACTATAAAGAGAATTTGGGCCCAGAGACTATTTGTGGGTTAATTTTTTTCTTAAGTAGTATTCATTTTTTTCCATAGTTATAGCAAAACACATTCTTTGAAATGAGAGTGCCATTTCCCTGCATTAGTCTGAAAGTGGAAAACATTCAGAAATGCTATTTTTCTCTGGTTTTTGTCTTAAATAGATTTTTGTTAGTTCCATTTGTTTTGAATTTCTTTATTCTTCTACATATGATAGCAGGATTTCCACATCACATTCTTCTTTTTTTTTTTTTTTTCCAAGTTTTCATTACATCTGGGTGCCAGATCTTGGTTCATCCTTTAATGTTTCACCTTTCCGTCCAATTTTGTTTCAGATGTGTCTTTTCAAATTAGCATCAAGTTATGTATTTTTTAACTTTTTATTGAAGTTAAGAAACATACAAAAATACACATAGTGTAAGTGTTAAAGCTCAATTATCACAAAATGAGTTCACCCATACAATCATCATCCAGGTCAAGAAACAGAATAGTACCACCACCCTAGAAGTTTTGTTCCCTCCTAATCTCTACCTCCCCAAATGTATTCGCTTGGCTTTTAAGATCATAGTATGATGTTATTTTGTACTTTCATATGTAAAATTTTAAAGTATTTTTTGGACATGTTATTCTTTTCATTCAACATTTTGTATGTGAGATTCATCCATGTAGTTGCATGGTGCTCGACTTTCTGCTAATTTTCATTGTTGTTTGGTATTTCATTGAATGAATATATCATAACATTTATATATTCTGCTATTGATAGCTAATTCTAGTTTGGAGCTATTGTGAAGAATGTTCCACTGAACATCCTAGGGCATGTATTTTGGTGCAAATAATCATTCATTACATGCCTATTGTATTATACCTAGGTGTGAAATATAATGTGTTTCTCTGTCTGTGTGTGTGTATGTATACTAATTAATCTACATAGTTACAAATCGTTGGCTTTATCTGTTTTTATTTCATTTTATTTTACATTAGTCATATTCTGATAATGTGTTGTAGTATCTCTCCATGTTTTAATTTTTTAATGTTTATTTTTAAGAGAGAGACAGATTGCAAGCAGGGAGGGGCAGAGAGAAGAGACACAGAATCCAAATCAGGCTCCAAGCTCTGAACTGTCAGCACAGAGCCCGAAGTGGGGTTCAAACTCACAGACAGTGATATCATGCCTTGAACCGAAGTCAGACGCTTACTGAACCACCCAGGCACCCCTCTCTGTGTTTTAAATATGCACTTCACTGGTTTCCATTGAGGATGAGCTTTAGGACTAGTGTTTGGATATCCTCATTTGTGAAGTGCCTGTTCGTGTGTTTTGACATCATTCAAACTGTATTTTGTTTTCTTAACATACAGAGGTTATCATGTATGTAATATTTCTACGATAATATCCATATCCTTATTTTTCAGATATTATGTATTATAAATATGTTTCACATTCTTTCATTTGCCTTCACTTTTTCTAAATATGGTGTATTTTGATAATTGGGAGTTCTTAGTTTTAATTTATCAATTTTTAATGGGCATTGCTTTTTGTGTTCTGTTTAAGAAATCTTTGCATACATCAAGGGCATGAAGTTATTCTGTATTAACAATTAGAAGCATTAACAATTAGGGTGCCACACAGTACACAGTGAAGTGTACCATTTTTTCTGTCTTTAAAAAATTGGATGTGTGGGGCACCTGGGTGGCTTAGTCAGTTAAGCGTCCGACTTTAGCTTAGGTCATGATCTCATGGTTCGTGGGCTTGAGCCCTGTGTCGGGCTCTGTGCTGACTGCCAGCTCAGAGCCTGGAGCCTATTTCAGAGTCTGTATCTCCCTCTCTCTCTGACCCTCCCCTGTTCACGCTGTCTCTCTCTCTCTCCTAGAAATAAATAAAAATATTTTTTAAAAATTGGATGTCAAATCACACCATACAAAATCCAACAACCACAAATAACTTCAATGCTTATTATTCATGCAGATATAAGCAAAGTGAAGGGAATCCTCAATTGAGCAGGAGCTGTGTCTCAATAGCAAAAACTTGCTCTTGCATGTCCAGAAGTGCAGATGGAAGAGAGTGAGTGAGGTCATGGAGGAAAGATATATAGAAGTTAATTTAGTAATACATTTTTCTACACGAGATATGCCTATTATATAAAGTAAAATAGTGGCATTGGATAGGAAAAGGTAAATTAAGATGTGGAAGAGGTATAATCAGCCAATATTAGTATGTAAGTGGTTCTGGAGTGTGAACCTGTCCAGAGCAATTTCAAAGATTCTGAATTAGATAACTAGCCTTTAGACACTGAGATAGAAGACATAGAAAAAGATTTCTCTAGAAGAAGAAATAACTTTATTGAGTTTATGTGTTTTGTGTTTGAATTGTCTTTGGGAATTTAGGTAGAGAAGTCTGATTATTAGTTGAAAATATAATTTTGAAGCTAAAGAGAAAACCAGCACTAGAGACAAAAAATTAGGAAGTCAGTGGCATGTAAATAATATTGTTGGTATTTGGAAAATTCCACAAAAAATGACTCATAACTTGAAAGTGAGTGAATTATGATATCAACAAGATATATTTTAAAATAGATGTACATAAGATTAGAGTACATAAGATTAGAGTATATTTAAAGATGTATGTAAGATTAGGTGAAAATCCCCTTCTAGGGGAAGGGGAAGATTAGGGGAAATTCTTTTAACAGTAATAGAATTGATAGTTGATTAATTAGATAAAGTGGCATATATGAAGAATACATTTGTCCATCAGAAATTGGGTTGGTAAGTCCTGGAAGCATAAGAAAGAATCATGAAACCAAAGTTGGACAGTTCCCACATTCAAGGGCCTTAAGGCCAATGTGTTTATTGGCTGATCCCAAAGTCTATTGCAATCACTGTCAGTTTTTTGTCATACCCTGTGTCTTAGCCTTAAAACCTGAAGAACAAATGCTTGACCATGAAAATGCACTAAAATAGTGTCATTTTCTATTATGTGTCATCTTTTAAAAAGTAGCACATTTATCTTTTCTGAGCTTGCATCACTTTTGGCCAGCTATGTATTTCTGGGGGTTTTTTGTGTGTGAAGTTTCTATAGTTTATTTTTAAATTGTAAACAACTAGTGTGATTGCATAGGACTAAAATAAAAAGAGAAGAGATCTGGTGATTGAACACTTAGCACTATATTGAGGTAAGAGGAAAATAAAATAAATTAGTGAAGGCCTGGAGTGAAATGAAAGAATGAATGGAGATAATCAGAGTAAAAGGAAATAATAAACATGAACAAAGGCATTCATTTTCAAAGGTAGTAGTCGACAGTTTAAAAAGATACAATGGTGAAAAATAAGAACAAGACTAAGGTTTGCAATAGACATTCAACTAGAATTATAGACTTTTAGAAAGAAGCTAAAAGATGATAATAGATAATTGAATCTAAATTGAAAATCAACATTTCAGAATTTCCATTTCACTTTTCTCTAAGATTCTCTTATTTCATGCAACAAACTTACCATAGATTTTTTTTTAACTTAAGCCATCAAGAAAGGAGTACCAGAAATGGCTATTACCTTTTATTTGAGCATCTATTATATCCTGGACAATGCTATTCTTTTGTATCTTATTTAGTCTTTAGCTCAATAAGTTAAATATCATATTTATTTTATGGATACATGAATGGGGTTTAGAAAGTTTAATTCAAAAGTTGTACACAGAGTAAGTGGCTTGGATTTTACATAAAGCCCATGCTCTAGTCACTACAACAAATTGAGAAAATTTTAATATTCCTATAAGGATCTCTTCTGAACTCTCTTCACTATTATATTAACAGGCATTATTTCCTCAAGACAGAGAGAGAGAGAGAGAAAACTCTAGGAAATGAAAAAGAAGACAGAGGAGAATCTCAAACGGTGATAATTTTTTCAACCTCATCTACACCTCAATTTTGAGACACTCTGTAATATTTGGGAATTAACAGGAAACAAGATAGAAGTTAGAAACTACCGAAGAATATTAATTAAAAATATTCTTTGTCCATGGAATCCAGCTAAAAGTCTAGTTACTAAAATATCTCACAAACCAACTGCTTTCAAAAAGACCTCCACCACTAGCACAAGATGGTGCCATTGGCATATTATGATCAACAGTTTGTGCCATTAGAACACTCTTACCAGCCAGCCACAACCAATTCATTGACACATCAAAACACAGGTCAAAAACTAAATCAACCCAGTAACCAGCCTGTAGTCAGAGTGCAATCCCACAGTAAGTACCTTGCAGCAACTCCAGTTAACTCTAAGAGGATGGTACAGAGCTGCTCAGTATTGCTCTCTGCCAAGTCTCAGGACACAATTTCACACGGCTTCTATAACAAGTCTCCAAAAGCACCATTATCCCAATCCAAATATCAAGGCACACCTTCTCTAGGCCAGAAAACTTTACTGCAGCCTAATCTGAGAGTCCTGAGCTCACCTTTGATCCACCCTAAATCCTTGACAACATCTTCACTTGACCTTAATAAGACATCTCTGTCACTGGAGTCCAGTCAAACAGACTTAAGCTCACGATTGCCCCTCCCCAAACCTCAGACCATATGTTCCCGAGATGTTTGCTGGACATCACTTACACAGAAGTCTAATCAAAGAGTCTCAAGTTCATCATTATTTCCCCCCAGACATCAAGAAACACCTTCCCTAGACATCCTTTGGAAATCATCTACTTTGGGACCTAATCAAAGAGTGCTTAGCACAGCATTACCACAGTCCAAGCCTCAGAAAACATCTTCATTGGATGGCCTTTGGACATCTTTATTAGAGCACAATCAAAGATCTTTGAGCTCACCATCACTCAACTCTACATCTCAAAAACATGACTTGCTTCAGTCATCATGCTCATTGGAGTCTAGTCAAAATAGCTCTGAGCTGTTACCTGACTCCAGACCTCAGACAACAGCTGTTTTGAGCTCTAATTCCAATGTTCTGAGCTTACCATTGTCCCAGTCAAAACCAAGGAAATCACCGTTAGCACATTCTGTCCACCAGATTAAGAGTTTGCCATTGTTCCCACCTAAATCTCAGACGGTGCTTACACTTAATCATGACTTCAGGACCCTGAGCTCACCAGTTTGTCACTCCAATTTTCAGAACGCCTCTTCACCAAATGACAAACACAGAGCCACACATTTATATTCACTCCAGTCTAAACGAAATGTCTCAGGTCAATCATTATCAAGCTCTAAACACTTTATCAGGAACATAGCTGTTTCAACACTGGGCTCCAGATTCCAGAGTAAAGGCAGCTTTGATCTTTTTGCAAAGACAGCATCAAATAAAGAAATTTCATGGAGTTTAGATTATATTCATCCCTGCATCGTTAAAGGTGGAACTGTCCCTAATGATGTTGTAAATAAAATTGTCAACTCTCTCTCCAAGACCAGAATCCAGAGGGATCTCTGTAGGCAGATTCTCTTTCGAAGGATGAGGGGAAGGCCAAATCCTCATCCTGGTCCCCGCCTTTCATCAAATTATATGGTATGTTTAGCTTGCGCTTCCTGCATAAAATCTCAGTGTAACCATCTTACAGGAAGGAAAGATCCTCGTGGCGCAACGCTATTTGTCATACCAACACCTGAGCTCAGTTCTGAGGGGGAGGTAGAAGTGAAATTAGTTTTGCTCCTTTCTGTACCAGAGACTTCTCTCTCATCTGGTCTCCGATCCTCTGTGAAAAAAAATCAGCCTGATGAAGTCCCTGAAGACAACCCTGAAGGAATGGAGAAGATGGAAATTCTCCCTACATCTAAACCTGATATCACCCAGAAGCTAAATAGCAAAAACAAATGGCTGACAGTAGCCGCTGAAGACAAAGTTGTAAGCCAACAACCCCAGGCTATTGACTGGCTACTTTATGTTAAAAAAAGTAATAATTTTGAGCCACAGTCCCTGCCTACATCCTCTTCATCCTCTTCCTCTTCATCATCTTCCTCCTCATCTTCCTCTTCAACTCTGCCCTCTTTACCCCCTCCTTCCAAAGAGTCTACCACATCTACTCTCTCAGGTTGTGTGTTCACTAAGGTACTTAGTTACCACCGGTTGCCTCCAGGGGTCTCCTGGCTTGAGTTTATATGTAGTAAAAATCATCAGCCACTTACTGGGAAACCAAAACAAAACCAATCACCATCTCCCAAAACAAGGCCTATGAGGAATAGCACCACAGTAAAAAGGTCAAAGGGACCAAAGATACTATTCAAATTTTTCCAGACAAAGTCTCAAAAATGAGAGAAATATTGATTAAATTAACTTTTGTTTCTTTGAAAGCAATTGACCTCTTAGTTCTTTGAAACTCGAGATTGATTTCCTATCATGCTTATTAAAATTCTTAGTAATAACTAAGTGTGATTGTATATTTTACCTGATGAAGCACCTAGTTAAGGGGAACTAATTATCTTAAGTCTATTTTCTAGTTGAATAATAGACTATGATCCTAGAAGGCAAAACTGAATCCCAGGTTTTTAACCAAATGCCTGGCTTATAGTAGCCACTGTATAATCATTGTTTTCATGGATTAATCATAATTGGCCATAAACCAGAAATACCTCATCTATCTTACCCTGAATAGCATCCATCTCATTGTTATTCTCCTTCCTCATAGAATATGCTAATGCAGTATCCTTAAACCAATGCATGCTCATCTGTTTCCCTATCTCCTAAGAAAATTCAGATTATGGTCAATAGCTAAGAATGTATGTAAAGAGGAATCTATTCTCTAGTTATGATAATCTCTTTCTAGTTATGTGCTCCTAGGGAAACTTCTTCTATGCTAAGATCCTATACTCTGAAATCCAACTATCTATTCAACCTTAGTTAACAAATCTCAGAAGAGAATAACTAACTGGTACAAATATCTTTACCTATTGTCTGTGCCAATATTTAAATTATACATTCTAAAGTCACCTGTTCATCACTTCTCTCTATACATCCAAAATGGGTTAATAAAAATGTTTTAAAAATGGTTTTGTTCCACTGGGTCTACTGGTCATGGGAAGAAAAGGGAGTTGTCTTAACTTGCTCACCTTAAGTAATCATCCCCACGGGCTAGAATTAGTATCACTTGCATGCACTGATGACTCACAGTTCTGTTCCACCAACATCTTTCTGACTGTATACTGGACATTTCCAGTTGGAACTTTGCACAGGCATCCTAAAGCCAACATGATCCACTAGAAATTATTATCTTTACATGATCGTTTGGGTCATTACATTTACAATCCTTTGTCCCCAGTGTTCCACCATTCATCGCAGAGTCATGTTTGACTGTTTTTCTCATTGCCTGCCCCTTTCTACGCCCATGAGTTCTGTGGCCTTAGTCTTCTTACAGCCCAGCATTGTCACTATCCTAGTTGTGGTCACATCCATTTGTCACCAGAACCACTGCAATATCTCCTAAACATGCACTTCTAACTTTTGAATGCAGTTGTAAGACACAGATATGATAATGCCCCTCCACTGCTTAGGGTCATTTCATCATTGGCCAGTGTTTTCTTGGGAAAGCTTCAATTTTTTTTATGCTTGAACTATGGCAGCCACTCAAAATTTATTTCTGGTTCTTCTCCTGTCTCCTATCGGTTGCCTTAGATGGCTAAGGCACTAATTGCTTTAAAATGCACTGAATGTGCCAGCTTTCAAACTGATTTTTTTTAATAATTTATTTTTTCAATATGTTAAGCTCACTTTTTAATCTTTCCTTCATTGCCCCACTCTCTTCTCTCTGGGAACCATCAGTTTGTTTTCTGTATTTAAGGTCTTTTTCTTGGTTTGTGTCTGTCTCTTTTTTTTTCCTTTGCTCATTTATTTTTGTCTCTTAAGTTGCACATATGAGTGAGATCATATGAAATTTGTCTTTCTCTGACCAACTTATTTTGCTTATCATTATACTCTCTTGCTCCATCCATGTTGTTGAAAATGGCAAGATTTCAATCTTTCTTTTTAGAGCTGAATAATATTTCATTATACATATATATCAACTCTTCTTTATTCCTTCATCCATTGATGGACAACTTGGCTGCTTCCATAATTTAGCTATTGCAAATAATAAACATAGAGGTGCATATATTCCTTTGAAACAGTGTTTTTGTATTTTGGGGGGAAAATACCCACTAGTGAAATTACTGGATCACAGGGTAGTTCTATTTTTAATTTTTTGAGAAATGTCCCTACTGTTTTCTACAATGGTTGTGCCAGTTTGCATTGCTACCAACAGTGCAAGAGGGTTCCTATTTCTCCACATCCTTGCCAACAATTGTTGTTTCTTATGTTTTCTATTTTAGTCATTCTGATAAAGTGATATCTTGTAATTTTGATTTGAAATTCTCTGATGATGAGTAACATTTTCATGTGTCTGTTGGCCATTTGTATGTCTTCTTTGGAGAAATGTCTGTTCTGTCTTCTACTCACTTTTCAATTGAATTATTTGCTTTTTGGGTATTGAGTTGTGTCAGTTCCTAATGTCTTTTGTACATTAACCTTTTATCAGAAATGTCATTTGCAAATATCTTTTCCCATTCAGTAGGTTACCTTTTAGTTTTATTGATGGTTTCCTTGCTGTGAAGAAACTTTTTATTTTGATATAGTTCAAATAGTTTATTTTTGCTTTTATCTCCCTGGCCTCACATCCTACACTTTTAAATAGAAAATTCTGCTGTTCAGAAAGATCTTCCTATACACACATTTTTATCCTACAGGGTTCTGTTTTGTCTTGACATCTTCTGGAAAGCCTTTTCCTGATATACTTACAAAAGGGTTAGTTGGCTTTCCTATTATCACAAAACTGTGTTAGCTCTTTGTACTGCTCTTAACCACATTGTAAAGTAATCATTTCTTATCTGTTTTCACTTACTATACTGAAAACTCCTTGTTTGCTATTATTTTTTTAATCTGTCCTTGGCATAAAGTGCAGACTTTAAAATAGTGTTGATATTGAATTAATGCTTTTGAAAATCTCCACCTTCTTTTAGTTCTCTGAAATGAATAACATTTCATCAGTTTGCTTCTTTCCCATAAGTTTGAATTGTTCTTTGTGCCTTTTATCTTGGTGAGAACATGTATAAAACTGTTATTGATGACAGCACTCATCTTCATCTTATTTCTTATGTTAACAGTGCTTTTTTCTAGTATTTCAGTATGAAATGTGATGTTGGCTGATGTATAGCTGATCAGTGATGATGAGGAAAAAGTTATGTATATGATAATGTATTCATGGCCTTCTCCATGACATGTACTTTAGAAAACACTTGACAGGTGTTTTATTCATCCTGAACTTCTCTTTTGGCGACACACATCACTTCTGTCATTTCTTGTTTAATATGCTCTCCACTATACTAATCTTCAGGAATGAAGGTCCTGTGTCAATCTCATTTACCACTAACTCTTCAGGACTTAGTAGTATATGGCGTGTATTAACTATTCAATATATATTTATGGGATTAAATTAAACTAAGCTCAACTGATTTTATTTACTGATATCATTTACATGTTTAATTTTCTGTCTCTTAGCTTGTTTTCTAAACTTTATACCTCATTGTAGTTTCTTTTCACTTCTTTCCTTTTTTTTTGGACTATGATTTAGTTGTTCTTAACTTTTCAGTGTTTTGGCAGTTATTTATCATATCTTAATTCTGACAGTGCCTGCTTTCAATTTTTTTTTCCAAAGAAGTCGTTAGCCAGTGTGTTGTACTTTGAAAATAAAATTGCGTCAAACTTATAGGGAAAATGCATAAGCAATGGTTATCCGACACTATCTCTCTCCCAGCTTCTATTGAGATACCAATAGAATTTTAAAATAAGGAAAAATGTGTCATTCCAGAAAGACTAAAATTTTTTTTACCAAATCTTATATAGATGAGACCAGATTTCAAAAAGACAGGACTCAAAATTCACTACATTTGAAAAAAAGAGATCACCTGAAAAGTAACAGAAAATGTTTGCATCTCATTAATGCCTTCTTTCTCCTTAAATTGAAAGGGGTAGACATGAGAACACAGCATAGTACAGTTGCAAGTGGATCCTATGAGTTGTCTCATTTTGATCCAACCAATTAATGTAAAGTGGAATGACACATCTGGATGATAACTTGACAATCATATCAAAACCTTAATAATGTACATAAGCGTTTGCCCTATGGTCATCTTTCTTAAAAATTATTTTAAAGAAATTATCATGACTATGTAGAGTTATACAAACAAGTAAGCTTTGTGTTTCTTTATAATAGCGAAGGATTGGGGGGAAAATCCAGGTGTCCATTTATAGAAGTGTTTAAATACACTATGATGTATAAATGCAATGTTTTTTCTGGTGAAAAAATGGTAATTTCTAGTATTGCACCTACATTTATTTTAGGAATAGAACTACTTTCTTTAGGAAAGTATCTTGATGAGAACCCTTGGACACGGATAGTGATCCTGAACATGAGTTGGAAGAACAAAGCTGAACAAAGAGAGAACTAAGCTATTGTATTTAAGTTTCAAACAGGAACTTTTAATCAGAGACTAATGAAAAGAGAGAGAATATAGCATACAACATCTAATTTGATTTGTTTTAAGTGAAAAAATACTTAGATTATAGGACATCACATGCAGTTTATATATGATTTCACCTTGTAGAACATTGAAATTCTGCATATAGGTATATGTGTGTTTGTGTACTTGTGCAAAATCTATTTCATATGTATGAAAGACAGAATGATTGGAAGTAAACACCAAAATGATGAATAAAAGTGGTTATTACCAGAAAATAGTTACAATGGAGTGTTTAGGAAATGGGTAGATTTTTCATTTTTTTCTAAAATTTTACTGAATATGAATTATTTTTATAATCCTTTTAAGACAAATGCTTTAAAAATGAAAAATGAAACTTGCTTTGTTTTTTTTTTAAATCTTTATTTGCTTGTTTTGAAAAAGAAAGAGAGAGAGAGAGCCTATGTGATCAGGGGAGGAGCAGAGAGAGAGAGAGAGAGAGAGAGAGAATCCAAAGCAGGCTCTGTGCTGTCAACATAGAGCCCAATGTGGGGTTCAAACTCACGAACTGATTGAGCCACCCCTGGGCTCTTGTCTTCTCTATTTTATGTGAAATATGTAGCACACAATTTTGCTGTTCTACTCCTTTCCACTTATTGATATTACTTGTGGTTTTACAAGTAACCACTGTCATAAATTTTTTGTAAGTCATTTTTTGCTCTTTAGAAATTGCTAAAACTATAAGACTATATTTTTCTGGATGTTTTAAAGCTTTGTATATATTTTATCACAATACATTTAACATTTTGAAAGTGTAGGGGCACCTGGGTGGCTCAGTCTGTTAAGCGTCCAACTTCGGCTCAGGTCATGATCTCACG